ACCTAATACAAGTTTCTGTTTATTCATTTGGGCCTAACTCGGGCAGGCAGCTGGCATAAAGCACACATAAAGCTGGCGGTGGGGCTCAGGCAGCTTTTGGCAGAAATATTGTAACATCCCCCTTTGGTTTTCTTTCTTCCTTCCCTCCTTTCTTCCTTTCTTCCTTCCTTCCTTTCTTTCTTTCTTTCTTTCTTCCTCTCTTTCTTTCTTTTTTTTGTTTAAGGTTTTTTGAGACAGGGTTTCTCTGTGTAATAACATCATCTGTCCTGGAACTCACTTTGTAGACCAGGCTGGCCTTGAACTCACAGAGATCCACCTGACTCTGCCTCCCAAGTGCTGGGATTAGCTTCATAGGGTCTTAATATATTTATTCATCCAACTTTTCTGTAGGTTTGAAATTGTTCACATTTTCAGCATTTTAGCTAGGGAAGAAAACATTTAAATAAAAAATACAATTTTAAAATATTACAAAACACATGTCCTATGTGAACAATTTTCTGGTCATTTTTCTTGCTCCCTATGAATGTTCAAATTACAAGTAATTACAGGTATTGGTAATGTTTAGACATCTTTTACCCAATGAAAAGGATTCTTGACTATATATCCTATTTAACTCTACTGAGTTTTCTTTACTATTTTAATTATATAGTAATAACTATAAATAAAACAAGTGGGGGCTGGAGAGATGGCTCAGAGGTTAAGAGGGCCAACTGCTCTTCCAGAGGTCCTGAGTTCAATTCCCAGCAACCACATGGTGGCTCACAACCATCCATAATGAGATCTGGTGCCCTCTTCTGGTGTGCAGATATACATGGAAGCAGAATGTCATATACATAATAAATAAATATATAAAATCTTTAAAAAAACAACAACAACAACAAGTGGACAGTCAGAGCTGGAAATAAGGCTCAGTGATAAGAATGTTTACTGTTCTTGTAGAGGGCCTGGGTTTTATTCCTAGTACCCATATCAGGCAGCTCACAACTGCCTGGAACTCCAACTCCAAAGGATCCAACACTCCTTGGGTACATACACATACACACACATGTACACATAAATAATAAAAATACACATTCACAATTTTAAAAAGCAGACCATTTACTAGCATCTGGGTTCAATCCTCTCACATTCCCCTAAATAAGGAACTGAATGAACAGTTGCAGCCATTGTCAATATAGGACATACATCTTTAAAGACTCTGCAGACTAAATCTATTCTTTATAATGACAACCCATTTACACTAAACCAGGTTAACACTTACCCCAACAAGGCTCCAATTATACCACCAGCCACCAAGCCTCGAATACCTAAGTTTACTCTGAACAAACCGCCTGTGACAGCTATTTAAAAGAAGGAAAAAAGGCAATATTAAATCATCCTTAAATGCTACACTTCCAGCATTTACAGTAAGAACAAAGACCTCTACGTGAACTTCCTGAACCCACCATGGCTGTAATCTCAGCACTCGCAAAGAGGCCGGAGGTCCAAGTGGCAGCCATGAAGGTAACTTTCTGTCCACTCCACAGTCAAAGGAAGAAAATATTTTGTAACTACTTAAACATTTTAAATATCCTCAGTCTTACGTTGGGGGGGTGGGAGTGCAGCACACGCCTTTAAACCCAGCACTTGGGAGACAGAGGCAGGCAGATCTCTAAGTTCAAGGTCTACAGAAGGAGTTCCAGGACAGCCGAGGCTACACAGAGAAACAAAACAAACCCTCAGTCTCCTATGGCTCTACTTCATTTGTTTTGCCCATTTCCTCTTAAAAACCAACATTCACTTCACCTTTTCCCACATTTTCACCTCTTTCTTCTTTGAGGCAGATTTGTCCAAACTTAAGAGACAGCAGCAACAACAAAGCCCTTCACTAGCCCTGAAGACTCTGCCTTCTCCCAGCCTCACCCATTTGCACTGCCTGCCATCCAGTGAATCAGGCAGACCTGCAGAGGCAGCATGCAGCATGCGATGCCACCTGGTGACCGACACAAAGAGTGCACCTCTCTTCACTAGAATTCTATTTCTAGAATGCTGGTTTGAGTTTCCTTTCTAAAAGCAGGGCCTCATGTAACCCAGATGTCTTCAAACTCAGTAGGGAGCTGAGGATGACCTTGGACCTCTGGCCTCTTTGTGAGTGCTGAGATCACAGCCGTGTACTACCACCTCCAGTCTGTGTGGAGCTCAGGAAGAAGCCCAGTGCTCCGTGCATGCTAAGCATGCATTCTACCAACTGTGCTACATACATGTCAGCTATTTTCCACCTTCACTAATGCCATCTTGGGTGGCAAAAAATTTAGCTGTTTAATATGAGTTTTATATTTCTATTTAACTATCATATAATCACTTAAATTTTTTCTAAATTAACAAGAACAAAAACCACTTTAGTATCATTATTAAGAGTACACTTCCAAATAAAATATTTTTAAGAAACAAAATGGGGCCATGTTATATATATTAAACTTTTAATTTTCTGTGAATATATTATTAAATTTCATGATCATCAAATTTTCAGTTTTCGATATTAAAGTTTCCCACATGATTCTACTGCATAGACATACCACAATTTTTATCTTAACACCAGTTTTCTTTTTGGGGGGGGGGGTTCGAGACAGGGTTTCTCTGTGTAGCTTTGGAGCCTATCACTGAGATCTGCCAGCCTCTGCCTCCGGAGTGCTGGGATTAAAGGCATTCTTACACATAAATCTTTATACATTTGACAGCTTCTTTTAAATGAACTCATAGAAATGAAATTCTGGGACAAGAGGTATCAACATTTTTATTTTAAAAGTAATTTTTATGCTGGGTGTTGGTGGCGCATGCCTTTAATCCCAGCACTCGGGAGGCAGAGGCAGGTGGATCTCTGTGAGTTCGAGACCAGCCTGGTCTACAAGAGCTGGTCTATAGCCTCCAAAGCCACAGAGAAACCCTGTCTCGAAAAAAACCAAAAAGAAAACAAAACAAAAAAAAAAAAGTAATTTTTATTTCAGAGTGTGAGTTTGGAAGAGGTAAGGGCAGTAACCTGCTGTTAACTGCTGAGTCATTTCTCTAGTCTCCAAGTGGGGTGGCTATTGGCTGCCAACTTGTCTATATGTGGAATTAACTAAAACATCAAACTTGAGAGGCACACCTGTGGGGGAATTTTTGCTTAACTTGAAATAGGAAGATCCATTCTAATCTGGATCTTTGAGGTGGGAAGACACACCTTTAATCTGGGCCACACCCTCTGCTGGAAGCCTGTATAAGAACAGGAAGAAGGAAATGTTTCTTTGCCTGCTTGCCCTTGCCTGACTAGCAAGCCATTCTCTCACTGGCATTAGAGCCTACTTCAATTCTGGCATACAGTGAAGACCAGCTGAGACGCCCAGCCTCATGGACTGAACAACTGTGTAAAACAGAGAAGCACATTAGTAGGGCCTGCAGTGGTCCCATGTGTGCTAAGTGTGTCTTAAGCAGGATCTCCTTATTGAGGAGCATATTCTTTTCTTTTTGGTTTTTCAAGACAGGGTTTCTCTGTGTAGCCTTGGCTGTCCTGGAATTCATAGAGATCCACCTGCCTTTTCCTCCCAAGGGCTGGGATTAAAGGTGTTGTGCCATCACTGCCTGATGAAGAGCAGAAACTTGAGAAGGTGCTGAAGGCACAGCACAGAGTCAGAAAGCAAAACAAATATGGAGCTTTTTAAAGTCATAAATGTTAAGGCTCACAGAAGATTTTTCATACATAGTCTTACTCTCTAGCCCACAATGTACTCAAACATGAGGTATTCCTCCTGTCTTTGCCTTCCAGTTGCTGAGATTAGAGGCGTGAGCCACCATGCCTGACTGATTCTTTCCCTACCATGCCTGGCTGATTCTTTCCTCTGCTATCTTATGTCTATGGTTCAGTTCTTCTCCAGTAAAAATCTAAAAATATTTTTGTGTGCATACAAATGCACATTTGTGTTTGTATATTGAGCAAACCATATATACCATAACATGCAGGACAACTTCAGGTATGGGTCCTCACTCTCCACTTAGGTGAGACAAGGGTCTCTTTGTTGTCTTTCCACACTGCTTACAGCACGCTGGCTGGGCCCCAAAGTGTCTAAGGATTTTCTTGCCTCTGTATTCTATCTCCCAATAAGGAGTGCTGGCATTACAGACGTATCCAGCTCTTACATTAGTTCGGAGGATTTGAACTCAGTCCCTTACATTTATATGCCAAGTGGTTTTACCCACCAAGTCCTATTCCTAGCCACCATCCAGTAAATTTTTAATTTCCATTACTGTATTACCAACACCAGCTATTTTCATTTGATTACATTTTGATGTATCATTACATTTGACATTATTTGAGTTCTTCTGTCAGCTCTTTCCAACATATAGCTTCCTTCTACCTGTTGGAAATTTCCACCCCACCCCACATTTTTCCATGTCTTGTTGCTGTTACTGTTGAAAATGAACTATTTTCTTTTGGAGACAAAGACTCATGTGGTTCAGGCTAACCTCAAACTCTCTACGTAGACAAGAATGAGCCTGAGTTTCTGACCCTCCTACCTTTGTCTCCCAAGTGCTGGGCTATGGGCATGTGCTAGGACTCCCAGCTCAAAATGGACTCATAGCATGCTTCGGCAGCTTCTAAGTTAAACCATGTCCCTCACATGGCTGAGGTTCTACTTTCAGGTTGTGATTTGCCTAGATCAAATCTCTGTGTTTTCCTGAAGAGCATAGCCACTGATGTCTGTTCTAAGTTCTTATTTTTATGTCTGGCTTCCTAGAAAGAGTTAACAATTCCTTGTAAGTGGTAATTAAAGGTTCTATCCTTGGACAACAAATCTGTCTGTGGGTTGAGAAACAGATTTAAACTTCAGTTTACATTATCTTTTCTAGTTTTTACTTCCTGTGTCCACAAGAACTCACATACAAACAAATAAAACTAGCTTGCTAAAGCCCACACTAGATCCCTGTTATTGCCCTCTCTATTTTTTGTTGTTGTTATTTTTTTAAGATACAGTGTCTTTACATGCTGCCTGGGTTGGCCCTGAACTTGTGGGCTCAAACGATTCTCCTGTCTTGGCCTCTCAAGCAGCTACCTCTAGTTTTATTGTCTCCTCATTAAAATCCCATTAAAATCCAGCCTGGTTTACTAGTCTATGGCTCACCCCAAACAAATCAGAACCATAGGCTGGCTGTGTCAGGAGTCCCTGACTGTTTTAAACAACTTCCTCAATATGGAATTTCCTGTATGCTCTTCCAGAGAGTTCCGAGTGCAGGGATGACAGGCATCTGTCACCACACATGGCTCTATGCTCTACTTTTAATGCTTGTTTTAATGGTGTGTCACCACTAGAGGAAAAAAGCTTTAAATAAAACCAATCTCTTACCATGAGTAAATCTGATCCTTCCTTCTTCACACCCCAGTCCCACCTCAAGCTATCGCCCTTCCTTGTGCTTAAAATATCAACCTGCTTCTGCAGAACATCTCTACAATTTCCTCTTGACGCTGCTCTTTAGCCCACTAGCCTACAGTTTGCTCCGTCCCAATCTGCCGGTGTCAGCTTAAATGACCTGAAAGGCCTCTACAACCCTGTCCATGTCACATCCATGTCCCACCTATTTGCTACTTTCTCTCATAAGAGCTGGTGGTTTTGCCCATTGTCACAGGTAAAATTTAATGAAAGCAAAGATCTTGTCTGCTTTAATAACTACCAAGAGTCAACTATGAGGCTATTTGTAAGCATATTTATATGAAGGTTGAAAAGGATATAGTGTGAAGCCAATCAAAAAATTCCACATGGGCCTGCAGCGATGGCTCAGAATTTAAGAGCACTGGCTGCTTATCCAGAGGACCTGAGTTCAATTTCCAGCAACCACATGGTGGCTCACAGCCATCTATAATGAGATCTGATGCCCTCTTCTGGCCTGCAGTCATACATGCAAGCAGAACACTGTATACATAATAAATATATTTTAAAAAACTCCACAGTTCTTATTCATAAATCCTATATATTCTAAACCATACTTGAAATTAAAATGTGAACAAGAAAAAAACACCTTACCTCCAGCAATGGCAAAATGGCTTAAGGCATTTTTATTTCGATACACAGTTAGTCCAGTGTTCACTGTGCTGTGAAGAAGAGAGGACAAAGAAAGCATTTCATTCAAAGTACACCCATTCACCTTCCTGACTGCTATTTTATTGAAATGATAGTTTTAAAACATCCTATTAGGACTAACGAGGTAGCTCAGTTGGTAGTGTGCTTGTCTGATGGGGAATGTACTGTGTAATCTTATTGATTACTGAATAAAGTACTTGTTTGGCCAATGAGACAGCAAGTTAGAAGGGACTAGGAGTCAAAGAGGATACTGGGAAATGCAGTAGAGAAGTGGTGATCTAGGCAGGAAGTGACATAGCAAGGAGACTCATATTTAAACAAGGAGAAACAGGAAGTGTCCCTTTTTTCCCCTCCGGTTTTCCTCCAGTGGTGCAATGTGATCCACCGGCAAGAGACGGTGCCAACAGAAGGCAACCTCTATAAGATAAATCTTATAAAATATATAGATTTATGATAATTAAGATACTGGGAAATGCAGTAGAGAAGTGGTGATCTAGGCAGGAAGTGACATAGCAAGGAGACTCATATTTAAACAAGGAGAAACAGGAAGTGTCCCTTTTTTCCCCTCCGGTTTTCCTCCAGTGGTGCAATGTGATCCACCGGCAAGAGACGGTGCCAACAGAAGGCAACCTCTATAAGATAAATCTTATAAAATATATAGATTTATGATAATTAAGATTGAGCTAGCAGATGAGAAATCCTAGTCATTGGCCAAGCAGCATTTGAACCTAATACAAGTTTCTGTTTATTAATTTGGGCCCTAACTCAGGCGGGCAGCTGGTGTAAAACACACACATGGCGGTGGGGCTCGGCAGCTTTTGGCAGAAAGATTTATCTTAACACTTGTCTATCACTTACAAGGTCTGCGTTCAATCCCAGCACCACATCAGACTAAGCATGGTAGCTCATGTCTCTAATCCCAGCAATTTGGGATCTGGAGGCAGGAAGATCAGAAATCCAAACTCATCCTCAGCTACACATCAGGTTCAAAGCAGACTGGGCTACATGAGACCCTGTCTTAAAAAAACAAACAAGTGCTGGGCTGTGGTGGCACAAGCCTTTAATCCTAGCACTTGGGAGGCGGAGGCAGGCGGATCTCTGTGAGTCCAAGGCTAGCCTGGTCTCCAGAGCAGTGCCAGGATAGGCTCCAAAGCTACACAGTTAGAAACCCTGACTCGAAAACCAACCAACCAAACAAACAAACAAACAAAAAACCAAGCGAACAAACAAAAACCAGAAACAACCACCAAATTCCTGTATTTTTAAACTCTTGTCCTAGTCAAGGCCCCTTCAGTGTGTTCTAGACTAACATGCCTATGCATCTCTAGGTAAATCTGTTGAAGAATGAAACAATAAAATCAAATTCCCAGAACAAATATTCACTCAGAAGAATCAACTTAGAAAGAAGGGCTCTACAGTATTTCTTTTCTTCCAGGGATGGTGGCACACTGTAATCCCAGGATTTGGGAGGGTGAGATTTTGAGTTTGAGGCCAGCCTGGGCTACATAGTGAGTTTAAACTCAGCCTGAGCTACATAGCAAGACACCCATCTCAAAAAATAAAAGAAAAAGGAACCCCTATATCTGTTTTTGACCCTAGTTGTAGAGCTCTATCATGGGTACAGAACTAATATTGAATCAATTTCTTATGTACATAGGGGTTATTAAGAAAAGGCATTATAGGGTCAGTGGCACGGCTCTGTGGATAAAGACATCTGCTCCAAGTCTGACCTGCGTTCAATCTCCAGGACTGGCGTGTTGAGAGGAGAACCGACTCCTCTAAGTTGTTCTTGGACTGCCACATGCACACTATGGCACAGGCATTGGCACACACAGACATGGACACACACACATGGAAAAGGAATTATGAATATTTTCATGTGAGTGTTCACTTTCATAACACCTCTTGCTCAAATGATGCTTTCCTAGAAGAATACTGGCATGATGGCACATGTCTGTAATTCCATGAGAATCACAGTCTGAAGACAGCCTGGATTCCACTGCACTCTAGGTCAGCCTGAGATATAGCAAGACACTGCCCCTCCACCCTGGAAGATTAACTCAGCTCTTATACAACCGAGCACTTACTTGAATATGGTTACAAAAACTGCAGTTCTCCAACTCCAACGCCAGCCATACCGGAGGAAGCCCCTCGTGCCAGCTCGGTGTGCACTTTGCTAAAAATAATTTGTTAAAATGCTGTGAGGTTCCAAGATACTTTGACATTTTCCTTATTCTACACCTGTACTGCAGAAATGTCAACTGCAAAGTACTCAGGTACCCCTAAACAGAAACATAGAAAAAAATTTTAGAACTATTATTAATACTAACACAAGCAAAGACTTGGGAGTCAGAGAAAAGGGCTAAGAGGCTGTTGGCTCCTCCCCATTTGAGAGACAATTGTATCTCCTCACGCAGTGCTAGCTACTACCCTCATACATGACAGTGAAGACTGGAAGTTAATATTTGCTTGTGCTGGGTACCTGGCTACCAGAGCTACTTTCAACTCTGAGAAGTGGGTACTGTCACCATCATTCATTGAAAGTTTCACAGCACAGTCATGGCTCAGAATGAGAAGAAACTTGTTATCAAAGGGAAGGCCAACTCCATGTTCTAGGAGTGATATCCATTAATATATATACAAATACCCTGTAGAACCTACTAGTATATTCACTATTATAGAGAAGGCCAGGGCCCACTTGAAGGGTGGAGCCAAGAAAACATTATCATCTCTGCCCCTTTTACTGATTCCATGCCTGTGATAGATGTGAACCACAGGAAGTGTAACAACTCACTCAAGATCATAAGCAATGCCTCTTGTACCATTGACTGCTTACCCTACCCTCAACCCTGGGCCAAGATCATCCATGACAACCTGAACATCATGGAAGGATTTCAACCAGCTGATTCCATTACTGCCTCCCAGAAGACATGGACAGCCCATTTGGGAAACTGCAGCATGATGGTGGTGGGGTGGCTACTGGTATTGCCACGATTGTGAGCAAGGTCGTATCAGATATAAGGGGGAGCTTACTGACACTGACACGGCCTTCCAGGTTCCTACCCTCAATAAGTCCATCATGACTCTGATCTGCTGCCGAAAGAAAGCTACCAAATAAAATGGCATCAAGAAGGTAGTAAAAGGCCAGGCAGTGGTGGCACACGCCTTTAAACCCAGCACTTGGGAGGCAGAGGCAAGCGGATCTCTGTGAGTTTAAGGGTAGCCTGATCTACAGAGTGAGTTCCAGGACAGCCAAGGCTACACAGAGAAAGCCTGTCTTGAAAAATACAAACAAACAGAAAAGAAGGTAGTGAAATAAATAACAGAAGCCACACTAAAGGGCTCACAGAGCTGTATCAAATATCAGGTTATCTCCTGCACCATTAACAGTGATACCTACACTTCCACTTTTGATGCTGAGGTCACTGCCCTCGATGACCACTCTGTCAAGCTCATTTTCTGATATGACAACCAATTCAGGTAGGCAACAGAGTGCCCACCTGACCTTCAAGGAATACGAAGCCCTGGAGTACTATCTCAGCAAGAACACAAAAGGAAGAGAAAGACCCTCAGCTTCTAGGCCCCAACTCAGCCCCGAATGCACTGAGCATCTCCCACCCCCCCACCCCCAGTTTTCATCACAGACCCTCAGAAGTGGAGCGCTTAGGGAGTCCTACTCTCAAGTACCATCAATAAAGTTCACTGTTGGGCTGGATGGAGAGATGGCTCAGCAATTAAAAGCAACCTGGGTTCAGTTCCCAGCATCTACATGGTGGCTCACGACAATCCAGTTCCAGTTCCATGAGATCCAACACCCTCTCCTGACTTCTGCAGACAGCAGGCATGCCCATGGTATATGTACACACACACACACACACACACACACACACATACACACACACAGAGAGAGAGAGAGAGAGAGAGAGAGAGAGAGAAATTAAAAATAAATCTTTAAAAGAAATATCAGTATGAACTCATACTTTGAGGTAGACACACATAGAGCATCTCACACACACACTTCCAAACTCTGTCTGCCCAGTCTAAAAGCAATAATACCCTGGAAGAGTAGAGTACACCGTGGACCCAGGTCTTGTTTTCTACCAATCTTCCCTAAAAGAAATCTTAGTTCCACCAGACATGACAGAACACACATTTAATCTCAGCACTGGGGAGGCAAAGGTAGGAGGATCTCTGTGTGTTCAAGTCCAGAACACCCGGGGATACATTGGGAAACCTTGCCTAAAACAAAACCAAAAAGAACTCTGAGTTGGCCACTTTCAAGAGCAGGAATAGAAGAGTAGGAATAATAGAAGAGCCAGTCTGGACTACTAAGCAAGACCCTTAAAAAAAAAAAAAAAAAAAAAAAAAAAAACCCAAAAAAAAAAAAAAAAAAAAAAAAAAAAAAAAGCCAAAAACAAAAACAGAAAAACTCACAGGCAGTGGATCTAAAAGGATTCCAACTGCCCCAAATACAAGCCAACTGGAGTATTAGAACAAATCACAGTAATGGAATATAACTCTATGGAATAAATAAGAAATTCTGAGTACACATAGATAGAAACAAATTATAAGTAAGAATCATGTGTTTTGCAGGGCAGTGGTGGTGCACTCTTAATCCCAGCACTTGGGAGGCAGAGGCAGGTGGATCTCTGTGAGTTCAGGGTCAGCCTGGTCTACAGAATGAGTTCAGGACAGCCAAAAGCTATGCAGAGAAACTCTGTCTCAAAAAAAAAAAAAAAAACCATGTGCTTCATACCAACACTCTGGTCATGAGCAGACCACATATACTACATGTTACCAGAAGATGGCCTAAGACCTTGTAGCTGTCCTAGTTTGTGCAGTATATTCTGAAACTCAAATAACAACAAAATTAAATAGCACATTTCTCAGAATAACTCATTATTACTTTTATTATTATTTATTAATTAATTAAATGGATGAGTAAATAAATATAATAGTGGCGACTACTACTACCTAGCACAACACTAACCAATGAATGTAAAAAAAAAAAAAATGCTAGAATTAGAAAAAGGCCATTTGACAATCATGACAGTAAGAACCATTTTGAATAAGAATAAATTGAATTCTAAAAGCACAGGGTAGATGAAAATAAAATAGGATATTTACAAAATCTCAAGGTGTCTAACAAGAATCTATAAAATACTTATTTCCTCAAAACGGAAACAGCAATTTTATGCTATGGGAACCCGGCAGATCTCATGTTACCCATGTAACTAAAGGTCATACCAAGAGTCAGAGGAAATATCAAATCTAGGGCACTAGGGCGTGCATGCGTGCAAGCATTCCAGGGCATGCACATAGAGGTCAGAAGACAGCTTATTAAGAGTCTGCTCTCTCCTTGCCCCCATCTTGGGAATCAAACTCAGGTTGTCCAGCTTGGCAGCAAGCATCTTCAGTCACCAACCCATCAAGGCCCACAAGTCTGATTTTTCTGTTTTTCAAGACAGGGTTTCTCTGTGTAGCTCTGGCTGTCCTGGAACTCACTCCATCAACCAGGCTGACCTCAAACTCACAGATCCACCTGCCTCTGCCTCCTAAGTGGAGGGATTCTCTTCAGATTGTATAACTCTTTAGCCTTTCACAAATCTCAATTTTATCATGAGAAATTGTGGTGGTTTGAAAGGAAATGCCCCCCAAAGGAAGTGGCACCATTAGGAGGTGTGGCCTTGTTGGAGAAAGTGTGTCACTTTGGAGGTGGGCTTTGAGGTCTCATATATGCTCAAGCTACACCCAGTGTCTCAGACTGCTTCCTATTGCCTACATATCAAGATGTAGAACTCTCAGCTCCTTCTCCAGCACCACGTCCACCTGCGTGCCACCATGCTCCATTATGATGATCATGGACTGAACCTCTGAAACTGTAAGCCACTCATTCCAATTAAATGCTTTCCTTTCTAAGAGTTGTGGCCATGGTGTCTCCTCAAAGCAATAGAAACCCTAAGACTGAAACTATCAAGCAAATCTAAACTGTAAGCCATTCTACAAATGGTCCACAAGGTTTAAAACTGTCCAAGGGCAAGACTGACAGATAAACTATTTCAGACTAATGGATTCTAAAGAGGCATGAGGAAAATTCAGTATGTATTCTACTATTAGAAGCTAAACTAGAAAAAAAATCTTTCTTTTAAACAGGTAAGTTGAAGAAGTAGAAAATTCATTTAGCATTAATGCTTCCATTGCTGCTAAGTGTAGATCTAATTTCTTCACCCTGATATTCCAAAACTCTCCGAAGTCAAGCTCTAACAAAGATGAAGTGTGAAGAGAATAGTTAAACTGGCGTATCCCATTAGCCCATCAATACTTACCACAGCGTCAAAGCGGTTATGGAACATCTCCCCTTGACTCTGCTCGATGTAGCGGTTTTTAGCATGAATAAAAGCAGGTATTCCTCCATATGCCCAGCCAATGATGCCTGCTGAAACAGCTGCCCTGCAGATATATTCAACTTCCTTTGGAATTCTCTGATGTTCACTAAAACACCAAAAAGAAAATGTTGTTGGGACATTATTCAAAACACTTTGTTCAGAACCATCCCAAACGCTTGCACATGTTTTGTTATGGGCAGAAATGATGAAATGCTTTTGTGAATTCAACAGTGCAGATATATAAGAGCAGCACAAGTTGGTATAATGGGGGACACCTGTAATTACAGCATTCAGGAGGCCGAGGTGGGGGAATCATGAGCTTGAAGCCAGCCTTTGTTACATAATGAAACCCTGCTATAAAAACAAAACAGCAATACATGTATTGCTTATGTCTTAAACAAAAGCAATCTATGCTATTAGAAAACTAGAACAGTAATTATCCTTGGGAAGAAGGGCATGAAGGGGAGCTCCTGGGATATCGGTGTCAACTTCTGCTGTTGTTTGTGTAGATGGATGCTCATCTAGAAAAACTCATTAGTAAGTACACTTAGGAATATTTTTCTAAGTACACAACACAACCCTAGAAATAAAGAAAAATCTTTGAGTTGGATAAAGAGACTAATACTTTCATTTTTAAATTCTAAGCTAATAAAGATCACATGAACTCATGAGATTTTTTTTTTTTTAATAGGTATACAGTGTTCTGCCTGCAGGCCAGAAGAGGGCACCAAATGTTACCAACCACCATGAGGTAACTGGGAATTGAACTCAGGACCTCTGGAAGTACAGCCAGTGCTCTTAACCTCTGAGCCATCTCTCCCACCCAGCTCACAAGATTTTAAGAGCAATACATAAAATAGGGATTTTAAACAGCTGAGATTCGGATTCTAAAGATGTCAAGGTCCAGAGGCTGGAGTGATGGCTCAATCAGTAAGAGAACTTGCTGTACTTGCAGAGAGGTCTGTAGTTCCAATTCCAGAATATCTGATTCTTCTTGCCCTATTGGGTATGAAGTACCTACACAGCGCACATGCATACATGCACACATTCAAACACATGTAATAAAAGAAAAATAAATAAATCTCCTTTAAAAAAAAAGTCAAAATTCTTACTAAACTCGTTTTATGGTATACTCAGATGGCACTACAGAGAGCACTGGAAGCCATCACTGGGGGGGGGGGGTTCAGGTCCACCTGAAGAACACAGTGAGAGCTGTCTCTTTATCAAGAAAGTGTCTCACATTGCCTGGGACCTCCTGATCCTCCTTGCCACCTCAAGTGATGACACTGCAGGCACATGCCTCCATGCCTAGCTTTAAAATCATAAAAGGGAAAAAAAAGTACTGAGAAAATTTACTATGTAATAGGCAGCACAGGCCAATCTAAAATAAGGAAGAGCTGTTTCATTCAAATTATGCCTCTCAATACATAAAAACTACAAAGTTTTCCAGGAAGTTTCCAGGATAGACTCTTAAAATAGTTAAACAATACAGCACTCTTACAGTGACCCTATGTGCACCAGTATTTAGATTGCTAGCTTTCTTTTGAAAGTGTGGGATTCTCAATCACTATACTCTTCCTTCATGTACAAAAAACTTAAAACTCTAGAAAACAAATCCTTACATTTACATTCATAAGTGGCTATGATTTAAATTTTATTTTATATTAAACAGAACTTTAAAAATTCATCTACATAAAAACTGATCTACTGTAAAACTCAGAAAAAAAATGTAAAGGGACTTGAAGTATAATACAGCCACACTTTGCCTCTTTGTTTAGTCCTTTGAATAGTTCAATGATGGTAATATTTACCTCAATTTTACTGCCATAAAGGCTCAAACTGAGTGTGCAGTACACTCTTGTGATCTCAGCACTTGGAAGGTGGAGGCAGAAGATCAGGTCATTCTTACCTACACATGGGCTACCTGAGACACCATCTCAAAATCCTCCAAGAAAGAAAATTAAATAAATATAAAAACAATAAAGACTCTAAAATGTCACAAACTCAGTCCAAGCAGCTAAAGAATAGCGAAAAGGTAACAGGACTAAGTAACAGGATGGAACTAGACATAGGACAGTGCTGTAATCTGGGATTTGTTTTGTAGCATGCAGCCAGATCTATCGCTCTGAACCCTGGTTTTCCCTTTCACATCATGGACAAGAGCATAAAAATCGCATAACATTATTTTTCAAGCTTTCTTTAGTTCCAATATTCTGTGGTTTGTAATAATGATCAAAACGACTATCTCCTGTGGGCCATAGTAGCAACTGAGACATGGAAACAAGAGGTCATTATGGCTTACAACACAGGTAGACTCCCAGGACTCAAAAACTAAAATAAATCTCATATACACTACAGAAGATCATTCAAAAATATACAAGCTTTTGGAAGGACCTTTGAGAAAAATCTGACATATTATGTACTAAAACAAAGATGATGAGGGGCTGGAGCAACGGCTCAGAGGTTAAGAGCATGTGCTGCTCTTGCAGAGGGCCCAGAATCCATTTCTAGTATTCACATAGCAGCTCACATTGTCTGTAACTCCAGTTCCAGGAGATCTGACATTATCAGACATGGGACACGCAGACATGCAAGCAAAACACCCATACACATATAGAGATATAATTATAAAGAAATATAATTTTTAAAAAGACAAAATAAAAAAGAAAAGTAATAGAATAATTACATATAAATCTGGCCCAACTTATTTAATCAATTGATAACACAGTGTAGTATGGTAAATTACTTCAAGAAAGGATAAACTTTCTCTAGTAATAAATGAGGGTAGATATTAGGTGAAAGTAATACAAAGAGCTAATCATTTGCTCTTCACATTGTTTATTTTAATATCTAGTTTCTGGCAAGTGAGGTAGATCTGGGAGGGTAGCTCCTGGGGCTCAAGAGGTCTTAACGTTTGACCCCCCAGTAGGGCAAAAGAGAGCCGCTGGGCCGAGAGGCTCAGGCCTGTGATCCCAGAATCTGGGAGGCTGAGAATGGGATGTTGCTTCCGGATCCAGGCCAGACTGGTCTAAATACACAGCCAGGGTTACATAGCAAGACCCTGTCTCAAAAAAGATGGGGGGGGGGCGGGGTGAAGAGGTGGCTCTGCAGTTAAGATCACGTACTGATCTTAAGAAGGACCTGAGTTCAGTTCCCAGAATCATGTCAGCTGACTTGAAACTACAGGTGACCCCAAATTCACCAGGATCTGATGCCTGTGGCCCGAGGGCATCTGCACTCACGTACACACACCCCCAACCACATATATACATACACAATTTTTAAAAACGGAGGTGAGAACACGGGGGCAGAGAGGTAGGAAAGAGCAGAGAAGGGAAGGAGAGCAGTCGTCACAATGTTCAGTTCCTTGTGCAAAATAAGAATAAACTGACAATTCTCTCTGCCCTTCCCCAGCTCCCACTTGAGGTATATTGGGCCACGACTGGCCAAGACAGACCAAAGCTTGAGAGCAAGTGAAATATGCAAAGAATGCTAGTGTGGACTTCCAAATACAGTTCCCGGTGATCACTACAGGACAATAACCGGATTGACTCAACTTTTCTAATATATAAAACTGGGAGTACGATGCTATTTTAAGAGCGTGACTTTGAATGAGTCTGATTCAAAAAACCAGCGTGTCGAGCAGCTACGGGAGGCGGCTATCTCCAGGGCAGAGAGGACGTTCGGCGAGCGACACTGGCCCGCTGCGGGGACCCCCGAGTCACCCTCCCCACACACCCGAGGCAAGTTTACTCTTTGACAAACAGCTGCCGGAGGCGGTCCCATCCGGACTCCGGGGAACCCGGCTCTGAGACATAGGGATGCGGCTCCCGGTGCTCCGCAAAGTCTTGGGAATCCGCAGCCACAGCACCCGCAGCAAAGACTCGGGGGAAAGGACCCCAGGCCGGGCTAAGCAGGCCGCGGGGCGCGGGCGGCGGCGCCTCCATGGCGCCCTCCCACCCGGGGACAGACACGCAGGGGCTGGCGAGCGCCGCGGGAGAGGGTGACCTGCGGAGCCGAGCAGAGGTGAGCTCGCGACACAGAACCTCACTTCCGGTCGCCAGCCTGCTCGCTGCAGGAGGCACTCGGAAGCACGAGACAGGAAGTCCCGCCCTCGTCGCGCAAAAGGCCGAGGGGAGGGACGACAGCCGGACCCCGGCTGAAAGCCCTTCCGCTTCGGGTAGTCGCGCCCCGGAACTGAGTTGGCGGCGGTGGCGTTTCAGTGAGGTGCTGAGGTGTTTCCGCCCCGCCGGTGCGGTCTACTGGGCCTGGCTCCGTTCCGCCTGAAGTGCTCACGACTGTAGTGAGGTGGCATCGTTTAAAAGGCGCAAAGGCGCAGGGCGTTGGTGGAGCACGCCTTTAATCCCAGCACTCGGGAGGCAGAGGCAGGTGGATCTCTGTGAGTTCGAGGCCAGCCTGGTCTCCAGAGCAAGTGCCAGGACAGCCTCCAAAGCTACACAGAGAAACCCTGTCTCGAAAAAGAAAAGAAAAGAGATGCACAGAGGCCACACAGAAGGCGACGGTAGTTTATCCAGTGCAAGTGGAAGTCCGTGCACCACCACGCTGCTCTGGTGGGCCGAGCACAGTCCACCCTTCCCCCGACATTAGGGCGCACCCGAGGAGCTCCAAGATTTGAGGATGCTTTGTGAAGCATCAGCTGTGGGCATCTTTTTTTTTCCATAGCGTGGGTTCCGCTACAGTATTCGTACGCTTACTGCGAGAATATGCGAGAAGGCATAACATCTGGAACTTTTATCGTTTAATATCTGGTACTGATATTTCCTGTTATTTTCTGCTAACATGTGCTCCGAAGTCTAGTTTTCATTGGAATGCCCTCTCACGGGATGAAGCGGCGCTGCAATTTCAACCTTTAGGAAGCCAAGGACGATTCAAGACCCGATTGGGTCATATATGAGGCCGGCCAACCCGGGCTTCACAAGACCACAGCATGATTCCCAGCACATACCAGGCATATCACAAACATCTGTACTCCAGCTCCAGAGCACCATACACCCAATTCTGGACTCTTGCACACACACACTTTTTTTTTTTTTTTTTTAATGTAGATGTTGCTCTATCTGCACATACACCTGCCTGACAGAGGAGGGCATCAGGTCGCACTATAGATGGCTGTGAGCCACCATGTGGTTGCTGGGAATTGGAACTCAGGACCTCTGGAAGAGCCATAGCCAATGCTCTTAACCGCTGAGCCATCTCTTCAGTCTCCCCGCCCCCCCCCCTTTTGAAGTAAAACACCAAAGCAAAACCAAAATAGGTTCATCAAGGTAAAATATTCCCAGTTGGTTTGTTTAACCCTTGGCAATTACCACATATCCTCTGCAAACCCCTTCACCTACTTTCTTCTTTTCTAGTTATTTTAAAATACCATACTGGATATACAGCTCAGTGGTGCTCTACAGTCACTTCCATTGTGTACCTTGTGAACTTTAATAAGGATATATGACATAATATTTTGGGAGTTAATTGTGGGACATCTCTACAGTCCAGAAAGGCACTTTAAATGAAACCCCATCAGCACTTAATGCATTGTTGTAATTTCCTATTTGCTAATCTCTCTCAAGGACTGAAGCTGCACTTCTGGATCACCAATCAGCATTTAAAACAAAGTAGCTGTTATTATCTTTCTCCCCCAAAACAGGGTTTCTCTGTGTAGCTGTGACAGTCCTGTATCTGCCTCAAGTGATTATCTGTTGAATGAAGAATTCAGACTCCAATTCCTAGCTCTAGCTTGTCTCTGCTTGGTCCATTTTTTTTCCCCCAGGGGTGGGCACTGGGATTAAGGTCCCAAAGCTAGAAAGACCAACAAATGGATGTGCTGACTGTCTAGCTTACCTGTAGGAAAAGCTGGGTGCTCACATTTGTCTGACATTCTCGAGGTCTTGGGATTGATTCTCAGAACTTGAGCTAGAGTAATTCTGGAATCAGGGTACACTTGAATGGGGACAAGGCAGAGGACAAAATCATTTACAAATAACTCAAACCCCCCCCCCCCGTCCTGTACCCTGTAGACATAAATGATAACAGACAGATTTCACTAACTCTACAAACTGATTTTGTTCTTTTAGGTGGGAATTGAACCTGTGACAGACAAGCTCTCTACCACTTAGCTATATCACAGACCCAAAGATTCATTTGTAAAGTTGCCTTTGCTACCTAGGACCTTGGCTCACCCTTCTCTATCACATCTCTACCCAACTCTCTTCTTACTCAGTCAGCTTCCCATACTTCCCAAGCTACCAATGCTTACTTTCTTGTACTCCAGGAAGCACTCTGCATCCCTGATCTCTGATCATTCTGAAGGATCTCAAAGCAATACTGTCAACAAGGTTGTCGTGGGCAGTAATCAAAACACACTAACACATATGGCTCTTTCATCCTCAGAACCTGGGCTTGCAAACAGAATGACCACTAGTAAAGGATTTCACTCATCACTACTTGGAACCATCACTTGTACCTCAGCCTGTGTGGCTGAATACTGCTCATCAAACCCAGTAGCTTTTTTCCTTGTCAGTTTTCTCTTGGATCAGGACATTCCCTTGCCATGTTCACCAAGTACAACTCTTAGAAAACATATATCTGTTTATATTGAAAACAATAGTAACCATTGCCACAGTAGACAGAATGAACTTTTCAAGAAGCAAATGGTATCTTTTGGACTGAGCTGGTATGAGTGATAACAAAACCTTCAAAAGTGTGAGCATACAAACTATTTTCAAAAGCATACACTTTACATACAATTACATGTCATTCTCATATTGTCTACACTGAGGTACACAGATAAGTACAAAATCTGAGTAACTTTTGTTGTTTTTAAAACAAAGATACCCCTTGCTACTACTCGAAAGGGAAAGTGAGGTTCTGTATTGATCCATTTCTTACAATGCATCTCTCATCCTCTCTGCAGGCAGTAACTGAGCAATTTAAAAATAGAATTTAGTTAAGCCAAGTGAGTATATCCATTCACCCCCGACTCACCCATCCCAACAGTTCTTCAGTTAACTATTCTGTGTGAGGCACTGTGCTGGATAACAAAAACATCAAGAGCAGTGAAACATCATTCTCATCATCAATACGCTTACAGAACAAGGGAAGAAACAGCCAAGTAACTACAACGCAATGTGATAGCACATGATACACGCACGAGCAGATTGTTAAACAGTCCCTAACAGCTAAGAATGAGGTTCAGAGAGGTGTTGCTGGAGCTGTAACTTGCAGTGAACTGTCCATATATCTTTTTCAGAAGGGGAATAAGTACTCCAATAATGATTTACACTAAAATACTTCATATGGGAGAAAAATATGAAAGCTAAATGCTCTCTAAATTACTACTTCATGATGTGTTCACATGAACATCACAGTCTCTGCAAATTGAGATGGTCCTGCTGCTACTAATTTAAGAAGGCAAAATCAGAGGTGTGCAAAAGGTGAGTTAAAGTTTATGAGACAGGACTTCATGTAGCCAGTAGTTCAAGGCTATCCTTGAACTCTTGTAGCTGAGGGTGGTCATGAACTCATCCTTCTGTTTCTACTTCAGAAGAAGTGCTAGTATTACAGGGACATCTCTCTCTCTCTCTCTCTCTCTCTCTCTCTCTCTCTCTCTCACACAAGACTGCTTTCTAATGTATTAACGAATTTCTCAGGCATGAAGGCACAAAACAGGCACTTGAAATCCAACTGCGAAAATAACTCAGGCAATTGAGGCATTATAGGAACCTCCTGAGTGCCAAAGAATTTATCCTTCTACAAAAGAGAACACCAACAGCACTGCATGGCACAGCCACTGCTTCCTTAGACTCTTCAGGACATGACCATTGCAGTACTTTCACAAACCCCACAGGATTTCTACACTAAAATTAAGTAATAGACATCAAGCCTAGAATAACTTCAGAGTTGCAGATATGAATTGTACCAAATGATGGATGATGATCTGCTCCAAATAATAGGACAAAGGGCATCTTCACATGGACCCAGTCAATTTCACAGTGATGATACATGTAGATGACCTGAGGCACAAGCTGTGATTGATCATAAGAAAATGAAAGATAGGATGTAGTTCCAAATCCTTATTTCATGATTTCAAACATTCAAATAGCTGTTCATCACATACATTTTTAGGTCTTTCTCAAGAGTCCTCCCAGATACAACATGATAAGGAAAACTGAATACTAGGCTTGGCAAAGGTGTTCAAAGCATAGGTGTCACGCTCATGGTATTTCACCACAGAGCATCTCAGATCCACTGCCAGGATTCCAGTCCTCTGATGATGACTACAGTTCAGTTTTCCAAAGTCTGGGAATGATCTGATCATAATCTTTCCTTCTTGTTACATTATAGGACAGGAATTTGGAGTATTCAGTCAAGAGGCTCTCCCAGTAACAGGTGATGTCATTCATGTGCAAATGGTTTATGATGAACTGGCTCCCCCTAGAGATAAGATTAACAAGAGTATATTACAGGCTTTAATAATAAGTCCACATATAGTTAGGCTACTTTATCACAAGCCTCGTTCTGAGTATTTTATTTGATTTAACTCACCAGCACCTCACAACCAACCCTGTAACTGTCATATCCATAAGCATGTATTTAGCAAGAGCACTTAACATTTGATTCTCAAAACAAGCATTATTGCCGGGTGGTGATGGTGCAAGCCTTTAATCACAGCACTTGGGAGATACTCAATGAGTTCTAGGCCATCTTGGTTACAAAGTGAGTTCTAGGACGGTCAGGACTGTTACACAGAGAAAACCTGTCTCAAAAACAACCAACCAACCAACCAAACAAACAAACAAAAAACCACAATCAAACAAACCAAAAAAACCCCAAGCATCATTACCAGCCAATATTCATTTTAAACACTTGTTTGTTGTTGTTTTGTCTTGGTGTGGTTTGGAGTTTTGAGACTTCTTACTCCTTCCTTCAGGCTGGCCTAGAATTCACTTCATAGCCCAGACTGTCCTGGAACTCAAAACGATCTCTTGACTCAGTCTCTCCATTGCTGGAATTATAGGTGTGAGTCACCATGTCCAGCTAAAAACATTTGTCTGAGTTCTTCAAAGACTGAAATCTAGGGCCTGGAGAGAGGGTTCAGTAGTTAAGTGTACTGCTCTTGCAAAGGGCCAGCTCATGTCCAACACTAGGGGGTCCTATGCCTCTGATCTCCTGGGCACCAGCACTGACATGCATATACCCATAAACAGACACAAATATACATACAATTTAAAAATAAATCTTCAAAAGACTGAAATCTGTTTGTATAAAACATGGAGCATTTGTGGATGTGTGTATCTGCCTTCAGCATAGCTTTAACTCTGGAGTACTTTTGTATGAAGCTGAGGTGTGGACATTATCATGTAACTCTATTTAGAAAACTTTACTACAGATGAGGCAAGAAAGGACAAATGAATAGAGCTTACCTTTTAGCAATTTCCTGAGCAATATCATCATTTGCTTTTACAAACTGCAACAGTTCCCTAAAATGACAAGAACCATGACACTGTAGAAGCTGGGGAGATGTTCAGCTGCTAATGTATTTGCCATGCAAGCACAGGGACCCGTGTTTGACACTGATACCCACATAAGAAGCCAGGCATGACGGGTTGTGCTTTTAATTCCCATGCTAGCAAAGTATTGACCAATGGATCCCTGGTGCTTGCTGGCCAGCCAGTCAATTCTAATAAGCAAGCACAAGGTTCCAGCAGGAGATTCTGTCTCAAAGAGAACAAAATGTATGGCCCCTGAAGAACAACATCTAAGGTTGACCTCTGGCCTTCATACACACACAAACACATGTGTGCCATACACAGCATGGCCTTCATACACACACACACACACACACACACACACACCAGCTTCAGAAATATAGATCACATTCATTAAAACCAAGTAAAAAAAGACAACAGATAAATAGATAAATCTGTAGATATGTAGGTTGCAGATAATTTCTTTAAAGCAAAGATATTAGGGTAACTAAAGAAATAAAGATAATAGCAAAGAAAAAGACTCTATATACAAAACCAGGAGCGGTGGGACTGATGATCCCAGCACATAGGAGTTCTGTAGAAGCAAGAGGATCAGGAGCTCAAGGCCACCTCAACTATATAACAAGTTTGAAAACAGCCTAAGTTACATAAAACCGTATCTCAAAAAAGACAAAAGATGGAAAAAACTACAGGTTAAAGTCAGATTGTCACCTGTCACTATCATCAATTATACTATGTTCTAGTACATAAATTTGAGATATACTTTTGAAAAAACAAAAATGTACAACAATAATAATAAACCAAGTATGAAAAATAATTTCTGGGGCCAAAAAAATGGCTCAGGAGGTGGCAGCAACAGCGTGACAAGCCAAGTCTCCCCTGGAAACTCATGTGAAAAGCAGGATGTGGTGGCAATCTTCTGTTGTCTTAGTAGGAGACAGGCATAGGAAAATCACCAGGAAGCCCGAAGGCCAGCAAACTTGGAGGGCGCAGCACAGCTGTAGAAACAGGAGACCCTGCCTCAGCCAGGCGGAGGGCAAGGTCAGACTCCTGGAAGATGTGCTCTGACCACCACATACGTGCAGTGACAAGTGCATATGCTCTTTCACAAGTGTTTCTCCCCCCCAACACACACACACACACACACACACACACACACACACACACACCCTACTGCCCCTACCTTTAATTTCTACCTCGTTCCAGCCAGGAGGGAACTGGTTCACAGTTCTGGCCCTTCTCCACATCCACACCTCTTTTTGTCTCCTCCCACCATGAAAGACTCTGCCAGGGCTTCACTAAATAACAATATAACAAGGCCAAATCTATCTGCAGTTGCTGAAAGGTCAAAGCCTTTCCTTCATCTAACATTGTGTTAGAAACAGCACTGTAAATTAAAGTGCTTCAAATTCAATCCCAATTATAACACATGCCAGTACACATGTGTACAGGGGAAAAGTTCCCACTGAAAATGAAATCATCTGAGAAAACACCTGGCGTAGCTGCACTTCGGAGAGCATGGTCATATGACACTGTAAGTTGGGACTAAGAGCTTACTGGACATTGGAGAGGTCTGTTTTGACTGGGATGTAGTGAACCCATGGCTTTAACTGTGGGTAGAAGAATTCCACCCACTCATCACCAACATGGAAGACCAGCGAACCACACAGGAAGAGATGCTTGAAACGGAAACTTGCAGCTACACCTCGAAAATTAAACAGATACCTGAAAAAGAGAAGAAAGCACACTTCATTTTCTACAGATGCTGCCATAAATGGGAACCCCCTGCCCTACCCCCACTGCTCCCCCGCCCCATTCCCTCACTCCTGCCTCTGCTTTTGATTTCCCTCCTTTTGTCATTTTTCCTATATTTACTTACTTACTTACTTATTTATTTTTGAGAAAGAGTACATCCAGTTGGTTGTCAACCTGACACCAACTAGGGTCACTTAGGAAGGTCTCTATTCAGAAAATTCCTCTATCAGTTTACCTATAGGCAAGTCTGTAGGGGCATTTCCTTGATTAATGATTGACATGGGAAAGCCCAGCTTACTGGGGGTGATGCCACCCCTGGGCTGGTTGTCCTGCGTCATACAAGGAAGCAGGCCTGGGGGAACAAGCCAATAAAGCAGCACTCCTCCATGGCCTCTGCTTCAGTACCTGGCTCCAGGTTTCTGCCTTGAGTTTCTGCCCTGAATTCCCTGGATGATGGACTACAGGCTAGAAATTGAAATAAAGCCATTCTCTCCAAATGGTTTTTGGTCATGGTATTTTATTACAGTAATAGAAACCCTAACTATAACATGATCTCACACTTTACCTTGGGCTGGCCTTAGACTCATAGAAATCCTCCTGCCTCATCCTCCCAAGTGCTGAGACTGTAGGTATTGAGCCACCATGCCCTATTCTCAGTCTTCAAAAACACATCAGTATGTATCTGTGGAGTTTCCATAATTCCTTGCTTTTCCTCAGTAGGAGCTGCAGGTTGTTGTTCCAGGAATGTCAGGTAAACAAAAGAAATAATTTCTCCAGAAACAGTTATCTGGGACCAAAAACTATGTGCTGGGTAGAAAACAGATAGGATCAGAAAGAAATAATAGTTTTGTTTTGTTTTGTCTGAATATAATATGTTTGAAATAATAATGACATACATTAAAAACTAAAAGTAATAAAACTGGGCTATAATGATGACTTAGCATGTGCTTGCCACCAAGCCTGAGGTCCTACATTGAATTTCTAAAGCCTGGAGGGGGAAGGAGAGAACCGACCCTACTGAGTTGTAGTATGACCCCCACATGAATACAATGGCATACATGTACCCACACACAATAAATATATGCAAAAATATATTTTGAAAAGAGTAAAAAACCCCACAGTGGGCATGGTGGAACACACCTATAATCCCAGCATTTTGAGAGGTAGAGACAGGAGGAGCAGGAGTTCAAGTTCATCCCCAGCTACATACAGAGTTTTATATACACAGTAAGTCAGGCTCCCAAATCTTTTTGTTTCCCCTCATGCAGTCCATCAGGTCAAAGACAGGCCCTTTTCCTAGATACCACCCTCTTCTTCCAAAGTACAGGAAGACAAGTCTAAACTAATCAATCCTCAAAGAGATGCTCCCCCGAAAAAGCTCTCTAAGAAAAGGCCGTTTTCTTCTCAGCATTTCTCATATATGTAGCTGTCTCTAACAGGAGCACCTACCCTACAGCTTCCACCGGGTATAACCATTGTCCTTACTCCCAAGTCCCATCCCAACCCTCCCCCAAGCCTCAGTTAACCTATTTAGCTCATTCTTTTTTTTTTTTTTTTTTTTGGTTTTGGTTTTTCGAGACAGGGGTTTCTCTGTATTGCTTCAGAGGTTGTCCTGGAACTCTCTCTGTAGACCAGGCTGGCCTCGAACTCACAGAGATCCGCCTGCCTCTGCCTCCCAAGTGCTGGGATTAAAGGCATGCGCCCCAACACCCCGCTATGTTTAGCTCATTCTTTTTTTTTTTTTTAAGATTTATTTATTTATTTGTTATGTATACAGTGTTCTGCCTGCATGTATCCCTGCAGTCCAGAAGAGGGCACAAACTACATTACAAATGGTTGGGAGCCACCATGTGGTTGCTGGGAATTGAATTCAGGACCTCTGGGAGAACTGACATTGCTCTTAACCCCCGAGCCATCTCTCCAGCCCCCATTTTAGCTCATTCTTAATACGGGAATTTCATTATGATGCTTGTCTGTTTGTTACAATGATGGGGATGAACTAGAGCCTTTATTATGCTGAGCAAGCACATGCTCCAATACCAAGCTGTATCTGAAGCTCCTGATTATAACATTTATTACTGTGACAAATATGTAATCTAACCATTGGGAGAAGTGCTGTGCAGAGAGGTGATCCTGCCACTTTAATTAATGGTAATTGATTAAGGAACCATGTCTCATTCTTCCCCATAGTCCTCACAGGACTCAGGTCAGTGCACTGCAGGCCTCAGTGCAAGCCACCCAAATTAACATGATACTTCAGATGGAGGTCTCCAAAGTATTTGGAAAGCAATCCAGACATAAGTAACTGGAAGTCTTACTTGTATTTGCAGTGATCTATTAGATGAACATCCTTGGCAGCTGGCTTTCCCAAGGTATCCTGCAGGTGAAAAGGAAGTCATCACTCCTAGTAACAGCACTCAGTGGGCAGGCGCACTGTTAAAACATTTCACCAACATAACCTCACTTAAGCAACTAAATGATGAACAAAATGCCCGGGAGGCAGTATCATCTTCACTGGACCCCAGAGGAACCCAAGATTTCAAGCAGGCACTTGCTCAGTGTCATGTAATCTTAATAGCAGCAATAGTTTGACTCGGGTATGTTTAGTTTTAGAGTCTGAAGTCAGGCTAGTTTCCTTTTAACTGAGAGGTCATGGTGTATCACCCACCTCACTCTGTGTGAACTCCACACACACACAGAAGGTCACAAGTGCTGGCTTATGGGGCTCATGGTTGTAACTCACAGAGACCTATGAGGCTCTATAACAAGCTTGTTGGGCCTATTATTTAAAGATAAGTATTAAGCTACTGTTAACATTTCACTAGGTGGCATGGCATTTCTCACAAAAGCCCAGATCTCTGGCCTGGCTTGCCAGCTCATGCCATGCCTGTAATCCCAATGGAGGATTTTACTGTTGAAGAAAAGGTGGAAGCAGTAGGATCAGGAGCTCAAGATCACCCTCAGTTACATTGAAACTTAAGGCCAGCTTAGGCTACTGAAGACCCTGTCTCAAAATCAATCAATCAGTCATAAGCTCTCAGGTTATACTCTATAGTCACTGAGAGGCATTCATTTAAACCAGGGATTGCTGAACTATAGCCCATAGACCAAATCCAACCCACCATGTGGTGGTATAGAAGTCATTCCTAGATATTTCCACATTTTCAAGTGACTGGGGGGAAAAGGGAAAGAAATATGTTTTTGATATGTAAAAAATTACATGAAATGCAGGTGTAGTGGCATACAACTTCAATCCCAGCATTTGAGAGACAGAGAGAGGCAAGTGGATCTCTATGAGTTCAAGGCCAGCCTGGTCTACAGTGAGTTTCAGAACAGCCAGAGCTAAGTAGTGCCCCCCTGCTTCAAAAGCAAAAACAAACAGAAAAAAAAAAAAAAAAAAAAAAAAAAAAAAAAAAAAAAAGGAAAAGCATGAAACTCAAATAACAACTGGGAAATAGCCATGCTGTGAGAGCTGCTGCTACTTTCACCCTGCTACAGTAGGACAGGCAGTAATGACCTGGGAAGACCCACATTTCCTATGTGGCCTCTCAGGAGAAGCTCACAAACTCTCAACTCTTCATTCAGAGTCACTGAAACACTCAGCATAGTAGCGTGAGAAAAATCTGGAAAACAGCAATTTACATATATGCTAATACAGATGCACAGTACTTGCTCCACCTTCGTCTCACCACTCAGGAAACCTAATCTCAAATTCTACCCAGCTGGCAATGTTCTTAGAGTCGTCACTGCCATGGTTCTATTCAGATGGTGGCTGATTACTTTCATAGATTTCCAGGCCTGGTTTTTGGTGTACTCTGCATCAACGAGCTTGGGATTTTTCCGAGACAGAAGAATGAGAGGATCTCTTTCTGGGCTTGTCCTACAGAGAAAATACAGAACATTTATCTATGTGGCCTACAATGTAACATTCCCAATCCCTAAAAGATGAGTAGTACTGGCCACTGTGGTGGCTGTTGGCACAGATGAGATAGTTCACTGGGTCTGGTACAGTAAAGGAAGGGTATCTTGGGTAGTGCAGCATTTTGGTGGTTCAGGCTATACCCCCACTTTACCCATCAAAGAGGGAAGTAGTGAGCCTTTCTTTACTTACATCTAGTTTTACTGTTTTGAAACAGGATCTCATGTAGCCCAGGCTACCCTCCAACTCACTGTATAGCCAGATGTGGCCTTGAACTCCTGATCCTCATTGGTAATCTCTCAGGCACTGGGATTTTAAGTATGTGCCACCACATCTGGCCTCTAAGAATATGATTGTACTGACTAGTTTTATCTCAACTTGTCGAAAGCTAGAGTCATCAGAGAGGAGGGAGCCTCAATTGAGAAAATGCCTCCATAAGATCTGGCTGTAAAGCATTTTCTTAATTAGTGATCAATGGGGAAGGGCCCAGCCCATTGTGGGTGGTGCCATCCCTGGGCTGGTGGTCCTGGGTTCCACAAGAAAGAAGACTGAGTAAGCCAGTAAGCAGCACCCCTCTGTGGTCTCTACTTTAGCTCCTGCCTCCAGGTTCCTATCCTATGCCAGTTTTCACCCTCACGGCTTTTGGTGATGAGCCATTATATGAAACTGTGATTGAAACAAACCCTTTCCTCCCCGAATTTCTTTTGGTCATGGTGTTTCATTACAGCAATAGTAACCCTAAGGCAATGATGCTGCTCTCTGGTCACTACAGCTACATTTCAGGGAATGCTTTTCCTTTTTGGAAAGTTCATCCAATACCTATCATCATTGCTTTCACAGCTGTGTGGCTACATAATCACCACTCACCAAAATAGCTACATGGTCTTTGTTGTGCCTCATGATAGCTATTTTTGGTTGTCAACCAAGAATATGTATTTAAATTTGACAACCAGCATAATATATAAATTTAAAACCAAGCTGGGCATAGTAGCACACACCTTTAATCTCAGTGTTCTGTTAGTTCAAGGCCAGTCTGAACTATATAGAGAACTCCAGGCCAGTCAGAGCTACAAAGTGAGAGCCTGATTCAAAATATACACAAACAAAAAAAAGACAAGATCACAGTGATTACATGCTCATAATCCTAACTACTTAGAAAGCAAGCAGGTCTCAAGTTGAAGGCCTGCCTAGGTAATATAGCAAGACCTTGCCTCAAAAAAAGAAAAAAGTGAGAATCTGATAATTAATTTGTAAAACCGCAAGTGAGGGGTAGTAGGCCCAGTTGTATTCTGAAGTTCACTGTCCAAGCCAGGGGATGAGTCAAGGATGGGTGGTACGATCTCTGATTGACAGCACACCACCCTAAAAACTACAAACTCTCCTCCTTTTATGGCCTATTTATCCATTCCACAGATACAGTCAGGTGCTGTCCTCAGCAGAACATAGCCAGGAGTTTCCATCTTCCTACCCATCTTCTTCCCTCTCCATTGCCCAGCCTCAGTGCGTGCCATTAAGCACAGGTTAGCAGCCACGTGGTCTGAGGACAAGGCAGTCAGGAGCCCTAGTGATGATCCCTGCTGAGGTAGCCATGACAAACTGAGGCACAGTGATGAGCTACTGCTAGGAAACTAGGAAACACAAGAGGAGGATTACCCACTCTGCCCCACAGATGGCCCTCTACAAATATCCACTGAGTCAGTCCGGGGACTGACTTCTTTGAATTCTAGTTTAACTGTGAACGATTTCCAAAGAGTTGATGTCCTAGTTTGCTTTCTATTGCGGTAATAACACCAATGAGCAAAAGCAACTTGGGGCGGAAAGGGTCTGATCGGCTTACATATCTGATCATGGTTGATCTTTGAGGGAATCAGGGGAAGAAACCTTGCAAAAGCAGGAACCACCATGGAAAGCCACTTCCTGGCTTGTTTCCAGCTAGGGTCACTACTTTTCTTATACTTTCCAGGACCACATAACCAGGTGAGGCATGGCACCATGGGACAGGCACTCCCACATCAATCACCACCAATCAAGAAAATGTCCGGAGCTGGAGAGATGGCTCAGCGGTTAAGAGCATGACTGATCTTCCAGAGGTCCTGAGTTCAATTCCCAGCAACCACATGATGGCTCACAACCACCTTGAATGAGATCTGGTGCCCTCTGCTGGCATGCAGGCAGAAGACTGTATACATAATAAATAAATAAAATCTTAAAAAAAAGAAAAAGAAAATGTCCCCACAAGCTTGCCTATACACCAATCTGAAGGAGGCGTTTCCTTTATTGAAATTCCCTCCTCCCAGGTGCCTCTAGTTTGGATCAAGTTGACAAAAACTAACAGGCACAACTGAATTCTTCTATAGTTCTAAGATCCTGCCAGTGCACATTTTGTTGGTGGTGGTGACAGTGGCTGTTTTGAGACTGGTCTCACCATACAGGCCCAGGTGGCCTGGAACCCGCTATCAGATTAGGACTTCATGGAAACCACTATGAGAATCAGGATGGCCTGGAACTTCACCTGTGGACCAGGTGGGTCTAGAACCCAGTACTAAAGATGAGACAGGCCTGGGGCTTGTAGCAGTCCTGCCTCTGCCTGGTGAGTGCAGGATTACAGATGTGTGCCACTGTGCCATGGACACCATTCCACACTCATTTCTTAGTTACCTTCGCTTTTCCTTTGAGCAACAGGATACATTATACCCTCAAGATTGCATGGTTTGGCCCACTGCTCGGAAGAACATCGCTATTACAGATCAGAAAATACAATCACCTTGATCCTCGGAAATATGCTGTAGAATTTTTCTTTTCCCATGGCCATTGTGCTGCTGACCTGAAAATACAGATTTCTGATTAGTTTTGGGGCTTTTCCCTAGACTATTTGTTTTAACCATTTCTGAAGATTAGTTCAGAACTTTGTACCTTTAAATAAACCTGTTTAAGTCTACCAAAACAAGCCATGAGTGAAACCGATGTTCTGAAGGGGCTTGCCAGGAATAGCTACAAATTCACGAACCCACCAACATTAACTTAAACAAAAGTGTACAGGGTCCAAATGGCATGCATAGGACCATTTAGTTTGCACAGTGAGGGTTTCCTCTCTGAGTAGAAGGCTATAAATAAAATTAGCACGTGACAAGAAATGCAAAGGAATCGAGTGAAAGGGAATTCACTTCCTAGCTTCATGTTTTGGAACTAAATCAAGGATCACCTGATGTATGTACTCTGCTATGTGAAAGGATCCTGGAATTCTTTTTTTGTTTTTGTTTTTGTTTTTCGAGACAGGGTTTGTCTGTGTAGCTTTGGAGCCTATCCTGGCACTCGATCTGGAGACCAGGCTGGCCTCGAACTCACAGAGATCTGCCTGCTCTGCCTCCCGAATGCTGGGATTAAAGGCATGAGCCACCAATGCCCGGCAGAACCTGGGATTCTTAAGGCTTCATGAAGCTCTAAAAAAGATAAAGTTGCAAGTTCCTGAAATTCAGGAATTAGTGGGCGTTGTCATGACCAACCTTCCCTGCTGCACTTTTACTTCATATCACTTTTAACTGCCCTTGCAGTAACACCCCCTAGCCCCCCACACACACACACACATACATTAGTCTATGCAGCATCTTCCTCTGTGGATGGGAAAGGCTGAACTGGAGTAGATGAGGGACAGTGGGGTTGTACTACAGAAACAGAAAAACACAGGATGCTAACTTTTGAGGTCTAGGTAGACTTCAGATATACAGTGGCATGCTTCTTCAGAAGTTTGCACTCATCTGAGAGCAACGCTTGGTGTTTCCAAGGCCCTCCAACCTCTGTCCTCAGCTAACCTTTAGCCCTTTATTTTCCTTTCTTTTTACAGAAGGGCCACATGTAGGCCAGGCTGGCCTTACACTCTTGTCTCTCTTGCTCTGTCTCCCAAGTGCTGGGACACAGGTGAGTGCCACCGGTGCCTGGTTTTCGGCAGTGCTGAGAAACACCCAGGTCTCTCTGCATGCTAGAGAAGCAGTCTACCAACTGAGAAACATCTCCAGTCTTATCTTTTCCTTTCATTTGGAGACAGGATCACACTGTGTATCCTAGGCTGGGACTTCCTGTGTAGCACAGTAGCCCAGGCTGGTCTTGAACTTGCCATCTTCCTGCTTCAGCCTTGTAAGTGGTGGGATTACACCAGGTCTATGTCACCAGGGCCAGCTAGCACTTTCTTTTTGTTTTGTTTTGAGACAGGCTCTCACTACGTAGTCCTTGCTGGCCTGGAGTTGACTGCTGAATCTATCCTTTTGTGCATTGGCATTTGCCTGAACGCATGTCTGTGTGGAGTGACAGACAGTTGTGAGCTGCTGTGTAGGTGCTGGGTATTGAACCCTGGTCTTCTGGAAGAGAAGTCAGTGCTCTTAACCACTGAGCCATCTCTCCAGGCCTGGCTCAGGATATCGATAAAGCTTGTAGTGAGCCCCCGCCTCTGCTTCCTCAGTGCTAGGACTGCAGGAATCATTTGTGACAACTTTTACCTGACTTTCTAGGCGAAGGCCAGACCATTTCTCACTCTGCCAAAGCATAAGCACCATTCACTGATTGGAGGGTTTTGTCCTTCTGTATTTAGTGGGGAATGACAGATTCATTGTTTTAGATTCTGTGGTAAAACATAAAGCGTTCCAAAAGCAACTGTAATCTCCCTGCCCACAGCAACTGTGGAAGACTCCAGTGAAAACATGGTTGTTTTTTTTTTTTTTTTTTTTTTTTTTTTTTTTTTTTTTTTTGCATTTTTGAGACAGGGTTTCTCTGTGTAGCTTTGGAGCCTATCCTGGCACTCGCTCTAGAGACTAGGCTGGCCTCGAACTCACAGAGATCCGCCTGCCTCTGCCTCCCGAGTGCTGGGATTAAAGGAGTGCGCCACCAATGCCCGGCTCAGTGAAGACATTCTTAAGACTGGAGAGATGGCTCAACAGGTAAGAGTATACACTGCTCTTGCAGGGTACTGAGTTCAGTTTCCAGTACCCTCGTCCCACTACTCACAACTGTCTGTAATTTCAGCTCCAGAGATCCAACACCCTCTTCTGGCTTCTGAGGGCACTGCATTTGTGTGCATAGCCCCACACACAGAAACACACATACACATATAATTTAAATGTAAGAAACAATTTTAAAAATGATTTCCTTTCCACAGTGGTGGCACACATCTGCAAGCCCAGCACTTGGGAAATAAAAGCAGAAAGATGAATAGCTCAGTTTCATTGTCAACTGCATGGGAAATTTGAGGTCAACCTAGGCTATAAGTCTCAAAAATAAATAAAACAAAATGAACTGCTTTCTATTCATTGGCTGGGTCTTTCTCCCCTTTTCACAGTGCTAGATACTCAGGTCAGTACCTAGTACACACAAGACAAGTGTCGTATCACTAAGCCACATCTGTAGCCCTTACTGACACTGGTTCTGTTCTCTTACCTACCCATGGGATATGTGGCTATATCTGGAAATATTTCTGAGGAACTGATACTGGCATTTAGTGGACTGAAGCAAGAGATGTTAAATATCCTAGAAGGAACAGGACATCTCCTTACCACAAAGAATTACCCAGCCCAAATATCAGTATTACGAAACCTGAGCAAGCTTGCTTGATGTAACAGAAGGCAGACCACATCTATACAGCACTTCTGTTTTAACCAGTTCCCTTTGAATCTCCAGCCACACTTGTAGAGCTAACAGATTCTGGAGGAAAAGATGAATTAGATTACTGCTTTCCTTCCATCCTAGAGAAGACCTATAAAGACTGTTTCCAGAAGGTCCTTCAGTAAGCACCAATAAGCCAGGGATGGTGGCACATGCCTGGAATCCCAGCACTCAGGAGGAAAATGGCAAATTCAAGATGAGTTTGTGCTACTTAGCAAGCCTGTATGTGCAGGGCATCATCGGAGTAACACCAATACTGTATACATCATGAATGTAAAATATAGCTGGTTTAGGAAGTATAACTGGCTGGACCCTGAGAAGTCTGGAGGGATGGAGTCAGTAGGCCAAGGCATGCCTCAGTCATGAACAGGAAGGATCTGGAATATACTTGTTGTCCTTGATATTCCTAAGGGTCCACAACAACCCATCATTAGCACGAATTATCAAGCACATTCCAAGGAATTTTTAAAAGCCAGGCACAGCAGTACCTATCTATAATGCTGGTATTTGGGATGGTAAACCCCAGTGTCCAGGAGGATCAGGGGTGTGAGCCCAGCCTGAGCTGCATGTTCAAGGACAGCGTGGAATACCAAGTGAGACTTTCAACAAATTATCTACCCTCCTTTATAATAAAGTCACTTAATTTACTTTCTCTTCTTATGATAATGATGCATAGTGGAGTATGGTGGCTCATGCCTGTAATCCCAGCACTTGAGAGAGTCAAACAGGAGGATTGCTTGAGTTTGAGGCTGGCCTGGGAACTACATAACAAGTTCCAGGCCAGGATGGTATACTGAGTGAGATCCTGTGTTCAAAAAAGGAGTTAATTCTCTCTTGGGGAATATTTAAAATATGAACATTTTAGAGAAAATGGTGCTGGAGAGATGGCTCAGTGGTCAAGAGTACTTGGTGCTCTTAAAGAGAACCTGGGTTAGTTCCCAGTGCTCACATGGCAGCTCTTAGTTCCAGAGCATTTGATGTCCTCTTCTAACTAGGAAGCCCCTAGTGTGCATGTGATACATATGCAAACCACAAACAAATGAAATAAAAAATGATCTTAAAAAAACTTAAAGACTCTTAGAGCCCTTCCCTTGGAGGCACTGCTGACAATTTAGGATGAAGTCTTCTGACCTTTTTGACAGGGATTTTTAAATTTTGAGACACGGGCTTAGGATTTTCAGGCTGTCCTCAAACTCACCACATAGTTGAGGTTAGCCTTGAACTTGTGATTCTACCTCCACTTCCCCAGGGCTGAGATTACAGGCATGAGCCACCAGGACCAGTTTATGCAGTGCTGGGTGTCAAACCCTGGGCTTCACACCTGCTAGGCAACTGTTCTACCAACTGAGCTCTATCCTTAGGCCCAACACGGATTATTATTCACACACAGAAACACACAGAACTGCTTTTGCTATATGCAACATTCTCCTGACTTTAATAGTATGTGTGTACGTGTGTGCACTCATGTGCAGTCACCAGTGTGAGTATATATTGGAGCCAGAAGAAGACATGAGATGTTGGTCTTTATTTTAGTCCCTTGAGACAGGTCTTTCACTGACAGGTCTCTCACCATTTTTGCTAGGCTAGCTGGCCAGTAAGCTCCCAGGATCCATCTGTCTCTGACCCCAAGAACACTGGGGTTACAGGTACATACAACTATTGGTATATGGATGTCTTTATTCAGATAAACACAAGCTGGAGAGAGTACCCTCAGGCAGCAGGCTAGGGAGCCCAGAAAAGAGACCATTCCCACGTCTGTCCTTTCCTTAAGAATTCCCCACGAGTCATCTTTAACCTCCCCTGACCATGCCCTCGCGGGCATAGCCAAGCACACCTGTAGCGGCTCCTAGGAGGTGGAGCTACAGTGTCTCCCTATAATTCCCCTTTTAGTCTAAAAGAGGATTAAAACTTAATAGTGTAAAACATCCAAAATTAACAATCATAAAGGTGAAATACAAGAAGATACAATAATCTGCTATTGCACATCCTAACTATGTCTATTCCGGCTAAGCCCTAAAGTCATGTGGAAAGGGTGTCCAACTTGAACATCTCCTTGTCTCCCTATATACAACCGTGCCTGAATTTTATATGGATGCTCCGTATCCAGGCTCACATCCTCACTGCACAGCTAGCACTCTTACCAACTGAGCCATCTCCCCAGCTCAGGCAGTGATCTTACATTCTTAACTATCTACTGCAGCTTACTTCAAAACAAAACAAAACAAAACAAAACTCACAGACAGGGAAAAACGAAACCGCTCCAAAGAACCTACCTTAGCAGATCTTCTCTGAAGAGGTCCCACCGTCCAAGACCCGTAGGATAAAGTGGCCACACGGCAGGGCCCCCTTCCCAAAATGTCCACGCAGGATACATGATATCATGGTACTCTGACGTCTTTAACAGAAACAGAAAAGCAATCTGAGTAAGTCTTGAAAGAGAATGAGACGCAACTGGCTGCATTCATTATATAGAACTGGGACAAAAGCCTTCATGGTGCTAGAGAAATACTGTATTGGTCTGCAAGGTCTAGGTCCTAGGTCTGGGAATACAGCTCCATGACAGAGCACTTACCATCACAGATGAAGCTCAGAGTACAATACCCAGCAACACACACAAAAATCACCTCTTATGCCTAGACTGCAGACATTTAGGCAAGAATTACCAGGGGTAAAAAGTAACACATCCACTTGATTGGGGTGGTGCATACCTTTAATCCCAGCACTCAGGAGGCAAAGAAAGGCAGGCAGATCTCTGTGAGTTCAAGGCCAGCCTGGTCTACAAAGCAAGTTCCAGGACAGGCGCCAAAGTTACACAGAGAAACTATGTCTAGAAAAAAAATAACAACAAAAAAAAGTAACAGTGGGGAGTTGGGGGAGGGGAGGAAGAGGAAGAAGGGATTGACATGTGAAGCAAGCTTTTTCTAATTTGAACTAAAAAAAAAAAAAAAAAAAAAAAAAAAAAAAAAGTAACAGATCTGCTGGGTTGGGATGGGGCACACCTTTAATCCCAGCACTTGGTGAGTCCTCAAGGCCACCCATGGCTACAGAGTTGTTTTTTTTTTTTTTTGAAACCCCGGGGGGGAAAAAAAAAAAAAAAAAAAAAAAAAGTAGACCCTTTGAATCCCAGAATTTATAATCATATTAAAGGTCAAGTGTTTCAGTTCCTGAAAATTCTGGAGGGTTTTTTTTTTAGGGAGGAGAGATAATACTCCTACTTATGAATTATCAGTTCAGTCAAAGCTCAACTGCTGTTACATCCTGGTGTTTCCCGGCTTTTCCAGTTCTGAGTTATTTCCCAGGGGTATTTTGAGAGTAAGAATCAGGAAATAGCGCTGATCACAGTAGTCTGAATTCTGACTCTTCCTCTTCAATACCGTGAGTGCTCCAATGTATGCCTCAATCTCCTGGTAGTCGGGGGAATGATATCCCTAACTCTACCTGCGGGTTTATTTTCAACACAAAATCACTCACAACAGTTTAAATGTACAGTGTCTGATGGCTATTTAATAAGCATGATCTAGTGTCACTTAACATTGTGGGTGTCCCCATTGAGCTCATGGTGGCTGTTCCCATTGAGCTCATGGTGGCTGTTCCATAAATCCCTGGCTGTTCATTGATCAGAAGGACCAGGGCAAAACAGGAGAATGCAGGCAGTCTAATCACACACATCTTGGTGGGAGGGTTGTCTGTTGGTGCTGCTGCTACTGTTGTTTTGAGAAAGGACCTTGATGTATAACTCTGGCTGGCCTAGAACTTACTCCATAGATCAGGTTGGCCTCAAATGCAATGGTCCTTCCATTTCCTCCTCCTTAGTGCTGACTCTGGCTCACAAATTTTTTGGTAAAAGTTTTAAACCACCTGTTCCCTCCTCATGGTCACCTCTGTTACATGGCCACTTACAAAGCCTCCAATCTAAGTTTCTTCATTGCAACTCCATGTGTACGGTGCTGTCTGACTCCTCTCAAACACTTAGAAAATACCATGTGACTCATCAAGCATCTCCAACAAAGCGGCTATTCAATAGAAACCTCACAGTTAACCAAAGCTGACTGACTACAATTCCCCCTCTGGACACTTCAGTCAGTGACTGTGAAAATAGGAGGGAAGTGACGATGAAAACAAAGGCAGTAGTGACAGTCATATTGGGACCAGACACTTTTGAGAAATCAGCAAAAACCACTTACAACACAGGAAATAGGTCTAGAGAGAAAGTACTCTGTGATAAAGAAAAAAATGGGGCAGCTGAGAGATGGCTTAGAAGATAAAGTGTTTGTCTTGAGTTCCAGTCCCCAAAGCCACAAAAAGCTGGGCTAGTGGCACACAGTAGACCCCTGGGGCTTACTTCTCTGCCAGATAGCCTAATCAATAATCTCCAGGCCAATGAGAGATCCTGACTCAAAAACAAGATAGATAGATGGCTCCTGAGGAATGATACTGATGGTAGACCTGTGGCCTCAGAGTGCATATACATACATCCATGTGCAACTATCCCCACACAAAAACAAGAAAGAAAGGGGGGGGAAAAAAGGAAGAAAAAATTAAGAATACTGCTTTGGCTGGGCAGTGGTGGTGCACACCTTTAATCCCAGCACTTGAGAGGCAGAGGCAGGTGGATCTCTGTGAGATCGAGGCCAGCCTGGTCTACAGAGCAAGTTCCAGGACAGCTAGAGCTGTTGCACAGAGAAACCCTGTCTGGAAAAAAACAAAAAAGAATACTGCTTTGAAGAAACCAAACCAGAGCACCTTTTCCCTTTCCCAAAGATTATGGGTCATCCTAAGTCCACTGTCTTTCAGCCTCCCCACCCTAGCTCAGAATGAAACGGCATCTGCATGAACCCAAGTACAGACAAGCTTCTTCTGTCCCAAACTGTCCAAGTCCATAGGCGTTACCCAATTACTTCATCCTCCCTAACAGAACCCAATCTCCTCCTCACTTACCTTCTTGGTTACCCTAGGCCTATCTGTACAATGCTGTTTAGGCACAAACCATGTGGAGCTACCCAGCATCTTCAATGTTTGATTTCAGCTACGACGGTTACATAACGGGATTCAGACATAGATAGGGCAGATGGCACTCAGCACTATGGCTACTGTATACATTATAGGAATGCAAGAAATATTTCTCAAGTGACAGCACGCCCTAACTAAGTCTATGCAGTTTCCTGGACTCCCGTCTGAATGCTATAGACTCCTAAGGCACCCTTCTACCTAGCCCTAGACATTAGACCTAGGCAATCTTTCATTACGTGTGGGTCTTCAATTCTATTTCATCAATCTTATGGCTCAGTGATTGTGAATTAAACCAGAACAAAGTCATTCCTGAACTTCCAGCCTCATCCTCAAATAAAGCCATCAGGCTGCCAAAGGAGATCTTTTGCTTATCTAAGAGGATCACCCCCTACCCCCATATGGCTCTTCCTGTGCTTACCTTACTGAAGGAAAAGACAGGGATGGTAGGCTCCATCCACTTAGGAACCTGAGGATAATCTCGTACATTGATTACCATTTCCATGTCTGGGAGGCGCCGAATCACTTCCAAAATAAAGTGTTCGACACCACTACACCTGTCAACCAGACAAAAACACAAAATCATCAGAGCAATGCCTGCAGGCTATAAGATAAGGAAGGACCCTAAGGTTAAAGTGAAACAAGCCAGTGCCTAGAACATCAGTCCACTGCACAGTCCCCTGGAAACAATGCTTCTACAGGGACTATGCTACTTTTTCCAAGGGGCAGTTTACCACTCTTAGCTACCATAATCCTACTTTTGCTCCCATAATCCTACCTTTGAAGAGAATATCTTTTCTACTCATATCATTCTCTAACCGTTACTGGGTCTTTCTTTCCAAAACATGGAATAGTTTAATTAGTAGAAAAAAATGTAAATTTTAATACAGAAACTGAAAGACCTTATTTTCTAGTTCTGTTCCTTGGCCTTCCTTCCCACACAAACACACTGCTATAGTTTGGATCTGGACAGTCTGGGCCTCATCTTTGCCTGAGAGGTGACGGTAAACAGTGAAGAGATAGGGTTGTTTTGGATCACAGAGGGCATGCCCTCCAAGGAGATTGTGAGCTGTTGTATTCTCTCTCTCTCTCTCCCTTCCCTGTCTCCTCATGTTTCCAACTGACAGAGGGTAAGCATAACATAACCACAGACCCAAAAGCAAGAGAGCCAACTGACCGCAGACTGAAAGTTCTGAAACCATGCACCAAGGTAAAACTTTCTCGCAAGTTTTGTTACAGCAGCAGAAAGTTACCTAAGATACTGTCTTAGTTAGGGTTTCTATTGCTGTGAAGACACCATGACCATGGCAACTCTTATAAAGAAAACATTTAATTGGGGTGGCTGGCTTACAGTTTCAGAGGTTCAGTCCTTTATCATCATGACAGGGAGAGTGGCAGCAGGCAGGCAGATATGGTGCTGGCTACATCTCGACTAGAAAGCAACAGGAAGTTGACTGACTCACTGAGCGGTATCCTAAGCATAGGAAACCTCAAAGCCTGCCCCCACAGTGACACACATCCTCCAGCAAGGCCATACCCACGCCAACAAAGCCACACCTCCTAATAGTGCCACTCCCTATGAGATTATGGAGGCCAATTACATTCAAACTACCACAGATACCATTTTTCTACCAGGATTAGGTCTTGATGAAGGAAAACCTTTCATACCCTCAACCTAAATACAGATCGTTATCAAAATTAGTATTGCCAGACAGAAATGACATTGAAACAATCATGAAGACTACCACAAGACTTTCTAACTAGACTCTCTGAGACACCTCAGAGAATTTATTTTTCTGAAAGAACAGGAAAATGATAGGCTTGTTTCTGCCCTATCATTTGAGGTCCTAACCTCTAGGATCTGACAGATCTAGCTAGCAGCTGACAGAATGATCAGAACTTTCTGGTAACATGGCTGGCCTGGAACTTACCATGTAGACCATCTGGCCTCAAACTTTTGGCAATCTTCCTTCCTCTGCCTCCCAAGACCCAAGATTTCAGCCACCATGCCAGGCTAATAAAACAGTTTTACATACAAGGAGATAACTACCAAATAAATATTATTTACTTGTTATATTTAAAAACAGTATTTCTTTATTACTACAATTATAATTATTAAATATTATTTATAAATATTACATGCAAGGAGATAACCACCAAATAAAATCAATGGTTCATAAATATATTTAACTGTATTAGTAGTAAGGAAGTATCAATGAAACTACAAAACATTTAACAATCTGATTGGCAAAGATTCTAAAAGCCTAATACACAGAGGTTTTACTTAAGAGTGTGTGAGCCAGACATGGTGGCACATAGTATTCTAGTACCATGAAGGCAGAAACAGGTGGAACTCTGAGTTCAAGGCCAGCCTGATCTATGTAGCAAATTCCAGGCCAACCAGAGCAACATAATGAAACATTGTATCAAATAAATTAGTAAATTAGTTAATTAAAATATCTTTAAAAAGCATGGAAAACAGCTGGGTGGTGGCACAGGCCTTTAATCCCAGCACTTGGGAAGCAGAGGCAGGAGGATCCCTGGGTTCCAGGTCAGCCTGGTCTACAGAGCAAGTTCCAGGATAGGATCCTGGAATCAATACAGAGAAACCCTGTCTGGAAAAACCAAAATAAATAAATTCATTACTTAGCCTAGCTATTCTGGGAATTTAGCCTACAAACACACATGCCCATGACCAGTGTGCTCAAAGGAATTTGCCTAAGAATGTTCATTATAGCAATGCTCGTGTTAGTCAAATTTTGTAGGGGTGTTGTAAGGAATAATTTAAATATTCAGAGATAGAAGACTAAATGAAGCAATCCATACAATGAGTTATTACTATGGAGCCACGTACTTACATAGCAGCCACATACCTGCATAGTAATACTTGGCTAAAAACATATACTGGTTAAATCTCTCTACTTCACTTCCTCCTGTAGCCCACATTACCCTACCAGGTTTCATTAGTCTGTTCCTCATAGCTTACGGAACCAGGTCAAAAAATAAATAAATAAATAAATAAATAAATAAAAGAGGACAGAGCCAAAGCACAAAATAGCTGGTAATTGCAAAAAAAAAAAAAAATCCCAGGCAAGGTGAGATTATGTACACTTCCTGAAATATAAGGAAAGATTCACTTGTTAATCCTGTAAGTTGGCTGGCATCTAGGAAATACTATCAAGTCAGCCTATATGTAGCATCGTTAGAAGATACATCTTCCTCTTACCTGGAAGGAAACATGCAGTCATCTTCCCGGAATAATCTCTTCTTAATGATCTGGTAGTGGGTTCCTAGCTTCCGTCTGACCACCTCGGCCATCATCTTCCTGGAAATACCACCTCGGAAAGGAGTGAGGTCCTCTTCTATGACGCTGTGAAAGAATGGAGATCATCGTGGAAAGCAGGCCAAGAGATTGGTGCCATTCCATCTATTATTCCAAGTGCATTTTCTTCAGAGAATATACTAAACGTGTTTAGAGAACCCACTAAGCAGGGGGAAGGTAGTGGATAGGAATGAGCAACTCTTCTATAAAATCAAACTCAGAACCTGGGGAAGATGGCTCAGTAGGTAAGAGGGCTTGCAGAAGGACCTAAATTCACATCCCCAGCACCAGAGTACATAAACAGCAGTAACCCTAGCCCCGTGGAAGGTAGAGAGGCTTGCTGGCTGCCAGGTTCAGTGAAAGATGCAGACTTAACAGACTAAGGCAGAGTGACACCTGAAAGAAACGTACCTAAGCATACACACACACACACACACACACACACACACACACACACACTCTCTCTCTCTCTCTCTCTCTCTCTCTC